CGGCTTGCACAGCTGCGCCCTCCCACCGCACCCCTCCTCTTCGGCCTCGCTCGCCGGGCAGCGGCGAGGCCCACTCCAGGGGCCGAGGCGCCCGTCCGCCTGCTCGACATCGAGCACGCGGGCGCCTCCCCCCCTCCCCCGCGCGCCGTCCCGCCGACGGCGCGGCCCCCCCGCCCACGGTCGGCTGCCCTGCCTGCTGGCTTGCCCGCCGCTTGCGCTCGACGCCTGGTTGTGCTGGTCCCCTCGCTGGTTCGGGCCTCGTTTCCCCAGGCGCTCGTTCGGGGGACCTTCCTGGGGCCCAGCAACCGGATCCTTTCGACTCCAGTTCGCCACTTCGACTCAAGTTCGGCTCAGGTTCAAGGTCGACTCAAAGTCGACGGACGTTCGACGCAGCTTCGACGCACGAGTGGAGAGAGTGGCTCCAGGAAGGTCCCCAGAACGAGCATCCAAGTTTCCTCCTCGGTCGTTGCCCCTGTTGGCCCTCGCCTTCGCCTTCGCCTTCGGGCCCCTCGGTCGGCCCCGCTCGTCGCCGCGAGCGTTTGGGAGCCAGCGCTGGACACTAGGCTTAAGTCGGGCCTGTCCCTCTACAGGAGGACTATTCAACAATAGCAAAAAATAGTCTGGGGGCGATTATCTAATATTTCTGACCATCTTCGCACGTTTGTTGACTACTTTTTATTTTTCGTTCAAAATCCGCCTGTAGGAGGACATGCCCGACCTAACGCTAGCCCGCGGCCGAATGGAGGCGCATCTGTTCAGCGATTCAGGCTGCCGGTCCCGGCCTGGCCTGCCTCGGCACGAGCCCGCTGCCCCAGCAGACAGTGCGCAGGGCGTCACGGCACGAGCCCGCCGCACCCGACTCTCCTCCGCTGGAGGTCCGGGGGTCGCAGGAGCGACAGAGGGACGTACACGTACATGAAGCCAGTTGGTTTCGAGAGTATGCTTTGCGCGAATGTTCGTATTACGCGGACGGTCTCGCGGATCGAGGGGCCGTGTTCATGTGCATGGTTGGGCGCGTACGTCCTTCTTTGTGGGCTCCCTGGAGTCGGCCTCCACGGAGCCCGCACCGCCCCGAGCTGTTCCTCGCCTGCTGCCCCGCGAAGCGCAGCGGCACGCCGTCGGCGGCGTGAGCTGCCTCATTCTCGAAGCCGCCTGCGGCCTCTCCTTCTGTGCTCCTCCTCTCGCTGGCCTCCTCGTCCTCCCCCCTGTTGCGGCCCTCCAGCTCCTCCGCTCTCTCTCTCTCTCTCTTGCCCGCCCTCCTCGCCCGCACTGGAGGGCCCTGGAGCCGCCCGAGGCGGCCCCTGAGAGGCGTCGAGAGAGCCCCCAAGACAGCCCGAGAGGGTCCCAAGAGAGCCTCCAGAGAGCCCAGCAACCTGTCACGACAAGGGGCCTTCTTCGTGACAGGCTGCTGGCCTCCTCTTGGGGCTCTCCTGAGGCGCTCCGAGGCCGCGCTGGTGGGCCCTGGAGACCCCTCGGGACGGCCCCAAGAGGCCTCAAGTGAGCGCCAACGATAGCCCCAAGAGGGCCCCACGAGAGCCTCAAGAAAGTCACACATCCTGTCACGAAAAGGAGCCTCGTTCGTGGCAGGTTGTTGGCCCCTCTTGGCGCTCTCTTGACACGCTCCGAGACCGCGCTGGAAGGCCCTGGAGGCCCCCGAGACGGTCCCGAGACGTTCACCCCGCAAGTGGACGTACACCACGGGTCAGCCCAAGTCTCGCCTACATGGCCAGTGGAAGCGCGTGCGAGAAGCCCAGGGCCTCAAGTGCATAGAATCGCCCCAGGCCGGTCCCAGAGGCGCTCCAGAGGGGTTCCCAGACCGTCCAAGAGCGCTCCAAGACGGCCTCAGTGGGTCCCCAGACGGCCCACGAGGGCCCGAAGCCTTGTGTGGGGGGCTCCACGACGATCCAAGAGGCCGCAAAGACGCCCCAAGAGGGCCCCGAGCGCACGCCAAAGGGGCACACATCGTCAAACTCTTATAGGAAAACGTATATTTTCAGCATGCCCGCCCGCTCTGTGTGCTCCTCAGCGGCCCAGGACACGCCAAGAGGCCTCCCAAATCGCCCCAAGAAGACGCCAGCGGCCCCTAATAGGGCTCCAAGACGGCCCACAAGAGCCCCAAGACGACGCCAGAGAGCCCTGAAACGGCCTCACAGAACCCCAAGACGGCCCCAAGAGAGCTCCGAGGGGGCCCCAAGAGGCTCCCAAGACGGCCTCAGGCAGCCGCAAGAGAGCTCCAAGATGGTCCAAGGCCTCCTGGACGCCCTGTGACGGCCCAAAGTGGCCCCAAGACGTCCCAAAACGCTCCCAGAGTAGCCTCAAAAAGCTTCATAATGGCCCGACAAAAGACCCCAAAAGGACCACCAAGCAGGCCCAGAGACGCTCCTTAAAAGAGCGATCGATGAAGTACAAAGCTCTTCTCACCAAGGCTCCCAAGAGCAAGCCACAGCGTAGAGAGCTCTCCCCGGCACAGCTCCCAAGAGCGAGCGGTGACGTGACCAGCCCTTCACACAGGGGCTCTCAAAAGCGAAGGAGCTCCGAGAAGCTCCCAAATGATCCCTCGGAGAAGGCAGCGCCCGCCTTAAGGTTTCTACAAAACAGAAACAAGTTTCCAGAGCCTGCGAGGCGCACCAGGGGGACCTGAAGGTCGTGGGCGAAGTCCACGGGTTCGCCCTAGTCTCTACTACATTGCAGGCATACGCGTGTCTGAGAGGGGCGGGGGTCGGGGGGCTCCTCCGACGCCCCGGCCCCGGGCGGCGCGGTGTAAAGGCGCCCCGGGCGGCTCCGGAGAGGCTCCGGAGGCCCCAAGAGGCCCCCAAGACAGCTCAAGGAGCCCCCGAGACGCCCAAAGAGCGCTCCAAGAGGCCGCCCAGACGGCACAAGAGGCCTGCAAGCGTATTCCCCGAGGGCCCCGAGCGGCCAAAATCATTCACTTTACGACGGTTTTGGAAGAATTTTGGCCTTCTCGCCTTTTCCGTTTTCCGACGCTCGAAGACGGCCCAAGAGGCCTCCAAGAGCGCCCCAGAACAGCCCCAGAGGCCTCCAAGAGCGCCCCAAGACAGCCCAAGAGGGCCCCAAGACGACCCAAGAGACGCTCAAGACGGCCCACGACGGCCCGAAGACAGGCCCAAGAGGGGGCCAAGAGGGGGACCACGGACCGAAAATCCAAGCCTTCCGCCCCAAGAGGGCGCCAGGAGGCCCAAACAGGCCCCCAAGGGGCCGCCAAGAATCCCCCGAAGAGGCCCCAGGAGGCTCCCAAGGAGCCCAAACGAGGCCCCAACACAGGCCCCAACAGCCTCCAAAATGGCCCCACAGAGGCCTCGAGCCCGCCTCCGAGCTTCCTCGCCGCGAGGGTGCCAACACGGCCCCAGACGGGCCCGGGACGGCCCAAGGCGCGCTCAAGACGGCCCAAGACGACTTTAAGACGGTCCCAGGAGGGCGGGCCCAGGACGGCCCAAGGACGCGCCCGGTCGGGGCTTGAAGACTGGCCAAGATGGCAAAAGAGCCCCAGCTCGCAAAAATCGTTCATCTTCCATTGTTCACTGTTACACCCTTTTTGCGTCTCCCGCCATTTCGGCGGTCCGATGCACCAAGAGGCCCCAGAGAGTCCCAGCAGGGTCCGAGGAAACGCCCAGGAAGGCCCCAAGACGGGCCAAGACGGACCCAGCACAACCCAAGGCGCGCTGCGACGGCTCAAGACGGCTCCAAGACAGCCCCAAGAGGGTGCCAACACGGCCCCTGCTGGGCCCGGGTTGGCCCAAGGAGGCGCACAGGAGGGGCCCAAGACGACTCCAAGACGGCCCCCTCACGGTCCCAGACGGCTCCAAGACAGCCCCACGATAGTGCCAAGAAGGACCCCGATGGGCCCAGGACGGCCTACGGACGCGCCCCTGAGGGGCCCACGACGAACCAAGACGGCCCCATCACGGCAAACGGCGCCCTCAAGACGGGCCTAGACGGCTCCAAGACGGCCCTTTGAGGGAGCCAACGCGGCCCCACACCCTTCGGGCGAACACTCGGGGGGGCTGGGAGCTTGCGACAGGTCTCCCACATTCATTGTCCTGCCCCATTATGTTCGCCTGGAGGCCTCCTCCAACCCTGTGGGCGAACAAGAGGAAACACAGCGGGTCGCCAACCCTGGGGCCCGTGGGCCCCGCCCCGCGCCGCTTGGGCAGAAGACGAACGCCGGGTCTGACAGGCCAGCTACCGCCCCCCTTTGCCCGATATGCTGTGCCATTCTGTTCCCCCAGGGGCCTTGGCAAACTCCTCGGGCCAACCAGACCGGACCCCTGGGACAGCAGCCAATTGATATGACCCTGGGACCTCTCCGCATTCTTCGGACGAGCACCTGGGGGGCCCAGGAGATTCGGACAAGTCTTCCCCATTCCTTGCCCTGTCCCGTTCTGTTCGCCCGAAGGCCTCCACAGACCCTCTGGGCGAACAGAATGGGACATGGCGAACAAACCCTCCCGTTGGCGGTGATGCGACTGGATCGCACCATCAAGGCGTGCCCGGAGGTGATGGCCGACCCAACAGCGGTTTCTCTAAAGATTTTTCAGAATTTCAAATTTTCTTGAAGCTCTCCTGGGCCCTCCCTGTAGATCCTTGCGAGCCTCCCCGGCGCTTTCGGTGGCTTTCCCCGATGGCCTCCCGAGCCCTTCCCCGGGCGCTCCTGAGACGCCTCAGATGGGCTTCGACTTCGACGCACATCCCCGAGAGATTTCGAAACTGCCCTCAATAGGAGGGGGGTGAACGAGCAGTGCGCTGGGCCAAGCTGCTCCAGCGCTGCAAGAGCTCGGACACGAAGGCGCGGTCTCGCTGCCGCCGCCCGAGCCGCCGCCGTGTTTGTAGATTTTCGGTGCAATCTGCCGTTCCTCCGAGAACCATTCCAGAAAGATGTCGTGGACGGAGTCCACGGGTCAGCCCTAGTCAGCTACAGCGCTGGGATCAGCGCGTGCGGGAAGGGCGAGCAGTGGCAGCGGGCACTTGCGCTGCTGAGCGAGATGTGGGAGGCGAAGCTGGAGCCCGACGTCATCAGCTACAGCGCTGGGATCAGCGCGTGCGGGAAGGGCGAGCAGTGGCAGCGGGCACTTGCGCTGCTGAGCGCGATGCGGGAGGCGAAGCTGGAGCCCAACGTCATCAGCTACAACGCTGGGATCAGCGCGTGCGAGAAGGGCGAGCAGTGGCAGCCAGCGCTTGCGCTGCTGAGCGAGATGTGGGAGGCGAAGCTGGAGCCCAACGTCATCAGCTACAGCGCTGGGATCAGCGCGTGCGAGAAGGGCGAGCAGTGGCAGCGGGCGCTTGCGCTGCTGAGCGAGATGTGGGAGGCGAAGCTGGAGCCCAACGTCATCAGCTACAGCGCTGGGATCAGCGCGTGCGGGAAGGGCGAGCAGTGGCAGCGGGCACTTGCGCTGCTGAGCGCGATGCGGAAGGCGAGGCTGGAGCCCAACGTCATCAGCTACAACGCTGGGATCAGCGCGTGCGAGAAGGGCGAGCAGTGGCAGCCGGCGCTTTTGCTGCTGAGCGAGATGTGGGAGGCGAAGCTGGAGCCCGACGTCATCAGCTACAACGCTGGGATCAGCGCGTGCGGGAAGGGCGAGCAGTGGCAGCGGGCACTTGCGCTGCTGAGCGCGATGCGGGAGGCGAAGCTGGAGCCCAACGTCATCAGCTACAGCGCTGGGATCAGCGCGTGCGAGAAGGGCGAGCAGTGGCAGCCGGCGCTTTTGCTGCTGAGCGAGATGTGGGAGGCGAAGCTGGAGCCCAACGTCATCAGCTACAGCGCTGGGATCAGCGCGTGCGAGAAGGGCGAGCAGTGGCAGCGGGCACTTTTGCTGCTGAGCGAGATGTGGGAGGCGAAGCTGGAGCCCGACGTCATCAGCTACAGCGCTGGGATCAGCGCGTGCGAGAAGGGCGAGCAGTGGCAGCCAGCGCTTTTGCTGCTGAGCGAGATGTGGGAGGCGAAGCTGGAGCCCAACGTCATCAGCTATAATGCGGGGATCAGCGCGTGCGAGAAGGGCGAGCAGTGGCAGCGGGCGCTTGCGCTGCTGAGCGCGATGCGGGAGGCGAAGCTGGAGTCCAACGTCAACAGCTACAGCGCTGGGATCAGCGCGTGCGAGAAGGGCGAGCAGTGGCAGCGGGCGCTTGCGCTGCTGAGCGCGATGCGGGAGGCGAAGCTGGAGCCCAACGTCATCTCTACTACATTGCAGGAGCACGTGCGTGCCAGAAGGGCGCAGGCTCAAATGTCTCAAAACCGCCCTGGGCTGGCCCTGGGCCGGCCAGGCAGGCCCCAGGACATGTCGAGAGGGCCCCCAGAAGCCCCCAAGACGGCCCCGGAGAGCACCGGCACGCTTAAAGATGGGCCCAAGACGCCCGAGATTCGCCCCAGGCGGCCCAAGAGGCGTCCAAGACGCCCGAAGAGGCCTCCCAAGAGGCCTCCCATGAGGGCCCCGAGCGACAGAAATCGTCGATTTCTACTCTGTTTTTTCGATGTTTTCGGCCTCCTCGCCTCGTCGGCTTCCCGACGCTCCAAGACGGCCCAAGAAGCCCTCCCGACCGCTCCAAGACGGCCGAAGAGGACCCCAAGAGAGCCCCAAGACGGGCCAGGAGGGCCCCCAGACGGTCCCAAGACGCCCCAGGACGGCCCCAGGACGGCCCAGGAGGCGCCCAAGACGGCCCAAGAGGCACCCAAGACGACCCCAGGAGCGGCCCAAGACGGCCCACGACAGCCCAAGAGGCGCCGAGGCGGGTCTCAGACGGCCCCAAGACGGCCCAAGAGGCACCCAAGACGGCCCGAGAGGGCCCTAAGAGCCCCCCCGGGAGGCCCAAACGAAGGCCGAAGAGGCTCCGAAACGGCCCCCACGAAGCCTTCAGTGCCTTCAGAATTCCCTCCAGGAGCGGGGGAGCGGACGAGAGGCGACAGGCCTATTGCAGGCAAAAACGCCCCAAGAGATCCCCAAACGGCCCCCACGAAGCCCTAAGTGGCCTCAGAATTGCTTCCAGGAGGGGGGGAGCGGACGAGAGGCGACCGGCATATCGAAGGCACAAAAGAACAATGTTGGACGCTCCGAGGGCCTTCGATGTTTCTCTGTTGGGGAGAGTCGTCGTAGGATCGACGATTGCCGACCGAGGGCAGCGAATCCAGTGGAGGCCCAAGAGGCCCCCCAGGAGCCTAAAAGAGATCCCCAAGAGGTGCCACGGGGCTTAAAAACTGCTTCGAAGCGAGGGGGGCGGACGAGGGGACCGCCTCAGGAGGTTTTGGACGGTTTTGGGCCTCAAAATCGTCCGCTTTACGATTGTTTTGGAAGGATTTTGGCCTTCTCGCCTTTTCCGTTTTCCGACGCTCGAAGACGGCCCAAGAGGCCTCCAAGAGCGCCCCAGAATGGCCCAAGAGGTTTCCAAGAGCGCCCCAAGACAGCCCAAGAGGGCCTCAAGACGACCCAAGAGACGCTCAAGACGGCCCACGAGGGCCCGAAGACATGCCCAAGAGGGGGCCAAGAGGGGGACCACGGACCGAAACTCCGAGCCTTCCGCCCCAAGAGGGCGCCAGGAGGCCCAAACAGGCCCCCAAGAGGCCCCAAGGGGCCGCCAAGAATCCCCCGAAGAGGCCCCAGGAGGCTCCCAAGCAGCCCAAACGAGGCCCCTACAGAGGCCCCAACAGCTTCCAAAATGGCCCCGAAGAGGCCTCGAGCCCGCCTCCGAGCTTCCTCGCCGCGAGGGTGCCAACACGGCCCCAGACCGGCCCAGGACGGCCCAAGGCGCGCTCAAGACGGCCCAAGACGATTCCAAGACGGTCCCAGGAGGGTGCGCCCAGGACGGCCCAAGGACGCGCCCGTTCGGGGCCTCAAGACGGGCCAAGATGGCAAGAGAGTCCCAGCTGGCAAAAATCGTTAATTTTCCATTGTTTACTGTTACACCCTTTGCGTTTCCCGCCGTTTCGGCGGTCCGATGCACCAAGAGGCCCCAGAAAGTCCCAGGAGGGTCCGAGGAACCGCCCAGGAAGGCCCCAAGACGGGCCAAGACGGACCCAGCACAACCCAAGGCGCGCTGCGACGGCTCAAGACGGCTCCAAGACAGCCCCAAGAGGGTGCCAACACGGCCCCTGCTGGGCCCAGGACGGCCCAAGGAGGCGCACAGGAGGGGCCCAAGACGACTCCAAGGCGGCCTCCTCACGGTCCCAGACGGCTCCAAGACAGCCCCACGAGGACCCCGATGGGCCCAGGACGGCCTACGGACGCGCCCATGAGGGGCCCACGACGAACCAAGACGGCCCCATCAGGGCAAACGGCGCCCTCAAGACGGGCCTAGACGGCTCCAAGACGGCCCTTTGAGGGAGCCAACGCGGCCCCACACCCTTCGGGCGCACACTTGGGGGGGCTGGGAGCTTGCGACAAGTCTCCCACATTCATTGTCCTGCCCCATTCTGTTCGCCTGGAGGCCTCCTCCAACCCTGTGGGCGAACAAGAGGAATCCCAGCGGGACGCCAACCCTGGGGCCCGTGGGCCCCGCGCCGCTTGGGCAGAAGACGAACGCCGGGTCTGACAGGCCAGCTACCGCCCCCCTTTGCCCGATATGCTGTGCCATTCTGTTCCCCCAGGGGCCTTGGCAAACTCTTCGGGCCAAGCAGACCGGACCCCTGGACAGCAGCCAATTGATATGACCCTGGGACCTCTCCGCATTCTTCGGACGAGCATCTGGGGGGCCCAGGAGATTCGGACATGTCTTCCCCATTCCTTGCCCTGTCCCGTTCTGTTCGCCCGAAGGCCTCCACAGACCCTCTGGGCGAACAGAATGGGACATGGCGAACAAACCCTCCCGTTGGCGGTGATGCGACTGGATCGCACCATCAAGGCGCGCCCGGAGGTGATGGCCGACCCAACAGCGGTTTCTCTTAAGAGTTCACTGGATTTCAAATTTTCTTGAAGCTCTCTTGGGCCCTCCCTGTAGATCCTTGCGAGCCTCCCCGGCGCTTTCGGTGGCTTTCCCCGATGGCCTCCCGAGCCCTTCCCCGAGCGCTCCTGAGACGCCTCAGATGGGCTTCGACTTCGACGCACATCCCCGAGAGACTTCGAAACTGTCCTCAATAGGAGGGGGGTGAACGAGCAGTGCGCTGGGCCAAACTGCTGGAGCGCTGCAAGAGCTCGGACACGAAGGCGCGGTCTCGCTGCCGCCGCCCGAGCCCAACGTCATCAGCTACAGCGCTGGGATCAGCGCGTGCGAGAAGGGCGAGCAGTGGCAGCGGGCACTTGCGCTGCTGAGCAGATGTGGGAGGCGAAGCTGGAGCCCGACGTCATCAGCTACAGCGCTGGGATCAGCGCGTGCGAGAAGGGCGAGCAGTGGCAGCGGGCACTTGCGCTGCTGAGCAAGATGTGGGAGGCGAAGCTGGAGCCCGACGTCATCAGCTACAGCGCTGGGATCAGCGCGTGCGAGAAGGGCGAGCAGTGGCAGCGGGCACTTGCGCTGCTGAGCGAAATGTGGGAGGCGAAGCTGGAGCCCGACGTCATCAGCTACAACGCTGGGATCAGCGCGTGCAAGAAGGGCGAGCAGTGGCAGCGGGCGCTTGCGCTGCTGAGCGAGATGCGGGAGGCGAAGCTGGAGCCCAACGCAGCCAGCTACAGCCTTGCGATCGTTGCTCTGCTCCGCAGAAGCGATGCGACAGGCTAATCAGCCACACCGCTGAGGAACAGCGCTTGAGTGAAAGGTGGTCAGTGGCCGCGGGCTCTGGCGCTGTCGAACGATATGTGGGAGGCGATGTTGGAATTCGGACGTTATCAGAACTTTAGCGTTGTGATCACTGGGTGCAAGAAAGGACGAGCAGTGGCAGCCGACGCAAGCGCAGAGCCTTCCAAGACACCTCACCGCCCGACGCCAATATAGGTCTGGAAGCGCGATGCCGCGGCATCCCTCCTCCTCCTCCTCCTCCTCCTCCTCCTCCTCCTCTTCCTCCTCCCACCTTTCGTGATGAGGCCAGATGGGTGGCGCGGGAACTGCGCGGTCCCGCTTCAGAAAGAGGGCTCTATAGACCTTTCGTCGTCCTTTCGACTGATTATGGTAAAGCGCAACTGGTCCTCCTCCTCTTCCTCTTCCTCCTCCTCCTCCTCCTCTTGCTACTCTGCCGCTCCTTCTCCTCCTCCCCCTGCTCCCACTTCCTCCTCCTCCTCCTCCTCCTCCTCCTCCCACCTTCTAAGGAGCCGCCGCCGCAATCCGGCGAGACAGACCAGCAGAGGCCACCCACGGCGAGGCTCCTCCAGAGGGCAAGCAGTCTCATCCAGTGGGCTGCTGCTGCTGCTGCTGCTGCTGCTTCACTGTTGCTTTGATCGGACTTACCCAAACTGTGCAACTGTTGCGCTCTTGTGAGCATAGAGCACGCGAACAATGTCGAACTCGAGCTCGTGCCACCTTGTTGCAGGCTAAGTGGGACGGAAAGTGCTAGAAGGAGCGGCAAAGCGAAGAAGCCCGCAAGGGCACGAGTATTAGACTGCGGTGATGGCAAGGGAGTGCATTGCTGCTGCTGCTGCTCTCCTCCTCCTCCTCCTCCTCCTCCTCCTCCTCCTCCTCCTCCTCCTCCTCCTCCCCCTTCAGCGGCGAAATCCGAACTCTACCCTCGCCGATTACCGATTCAGGCAACTCGATGGGCGGCGGGGTCAGGGTTCGGAATTCGTCGAACACGTGCGACCTCCGAATCCTACTCCCACCTCCCATCGATTCAGGAGAATCGATGATTGTTGGGGGTAGGGTTCGGTGGTCGCCACCTCCTCTGCCTCCTCCAGAAGGGGGAGCCTGTTCGGCAGGTGGGATGGATGGGGAGGGATCTAGGGAGGCCATGGCGTGAGGCAGGGAGG